GTTATTCTACAACTCGTCTGGTCTTCTCAAGACAAATCTAGTCTTGAGATGGTCTCTAAATTCAGGTGGGATATCATTAAGGTCATACTTTGGCTCTTGTGGACTTCTTCTAATTTTCTTCAACTTCAACTTGAACTTGCATACAAGCAGTTGATGGTCTGTTCCACAGTCAGCCCCAGGCCTTGTTCTCACTGATGATACTGAGCTTTTCCTTTGTCTCTTTCCACAGATGTAGTCAATTTGATTCCTGTGTATCCCATCTGGTGAGGTCCACGTGTATAGTCACCGTTTATGTTGATGAGAAAAGGTATTTGCAATGAAGAAGTTGTTAGTCTTGCAAAATTCTATCATGCGCTATCTGGTGTTGTTTCTATCACCAAGGCCATATTTTTTAACTACAGTTCCTTCTTTGTTTTCAGCTTTCACATTCTAATTGACAGTAATTATCAATGTATCTTGATTGCACGTGTAATCAATTTCAGACTGCAGCAGTTGGTAAAAATCTTCAATTTCTTCATCTTTGGCCTTAGCGGTTGGTGCATAAATTTGAACAATAGTCCTGTTAACTGGTCTTCCCTGTAGGCGTATGGGTATTATCCTATCACTGATAGCGTACTTCAGGATAGATCTTGTTCTTTTTGCAATGTCATTCCTCTTCAACTCGTCATTCCCACCATACTAGACCATATGATTGTCTGTTTCATAATGGCCAATACCAGTCCATTTTAGCTCATGAATGCCTAGGATATCGATCTTTTTGCATTCCATTTCATTTTTGATCACTTCTAAGTTTCCTAGATTCATACTTCATACATTCCATGTTCCAATCATTAGTGGATGTTTGCAGCTGTTTCTTCTCATTCTGAGTTGTGCCACATCAACAAATGAAGGTCCCGATTGCTTGACTCCATCCACGTCATTAATGTCGACTCTACTTTGAGGAGGCAGCTGTTCCCCAGTTGTATTTTGAAAGCCTTCCTACCTGAGGGGCTCATCTTCCGGCACTGTATCAGACAATGTTCCCCTGCTATTCATAGGGTTTTCACTGGCCAATATTTTCAGAAGTAGACCACCAGGTCCTTCTTCCTCTTATTCTGGAAGCTCCACTGAAACTTGTCCATTAAGGGTAGCCCTGATGGTATTTCAAATACCAATGTCCAAGCTCCCAGTATCACAGTAACATGTATGGCATGACAGTATGACAAACTGACAGGCACGTGGTGGCCACACTCGAGGGTAAGGGATTACACAAAGGTGTGAATACCAGGAGGTTGGGATCATTACAGGCCATCTTGGAGTCTGCCTGTTACTACCATGCTTCATTCACATCAAAACTAATTACACAAAAGTCAAATGGTGTGGGTCATACAACAGTCTCCCAAACAACTACTTTTCAAATACTGCTATACTGTCTACTTTATTACTCCTTGATAATACAAAAGAATAAGACAAAACAAAATCAGTTTTATATAAAAAGTATCATTGTATTGTATCATGTATTGTTGGGGAAAAAAAGTCAAAATGTGCCACAGAAATAGACCAGAAGTAAAATAAGAATATCAGAGTAAACTATGGGTAAGTCCCCTGCTCCAAGTTAGTTTTTCCATTACTCTTTATACTCTACCACTAAGTGAGCAATAACTTTTCATTCTAGGTTCTGAAACTATTTGCTCCAAGAAATATAATAAAAGCAAATAAACATTTATATGAACTAAAACTAATTATAAAACATTTTTATTGAGAATTAATAATTCTTTTGATTTCATTTTCTTTAATTATAATTTAATAAAGCTAAATTCAGGACAGAAATAAAACAGAACTTTTTAAAACTGAGAGAAACCCCATTTAGGATTAACAGAGATTAAAGTAGAAGTTTTGAACTCAGAATCTGATAAAAAACTAAGAAACTTCCTAGAGTCCACAGCCACATATTGCCAGAAAATTATGCTATCCTTGTATCATATAGGGAAATTCTGGTGGTGTAGTGGTTAAGTGCTATGGCTGCTAACCAAAAGGTCGGCAGTTCGAATCCACCAGGCACTTCTTGGAAACTCTATGGGGCAGTTCTACTCTGTCCTATAGGGTCACTATGAGTCGGAATCGACTTGACAGCAACGGGTTTGTTTTTTTTTTTCAAATATCATATAGAAGTTGTCAAGGATTTCATTTTACTTGGATCCACAATTAATGCCCATGGAAGCAGCAGTCAAGAAGTCAAACGCATTGCACTGGACAAATCTGCTGCAAAAGACCTCTTTAAAGTGTTGAAAAGCAAAGATGTCACTTTAAGGATTAAGGTGCATCTGACCCAAGCCATGGTGTTTTCAATCTTCTCATACGCATGAGAAAGCTGGACAGTGAACAAAGAAGACCAAAGAAGAATTGATGCCTTTGAATTATAGTTTTGGCAATGAATATAAATATAGCATGGACTGCCAGAAGAATGAACAAATCTGTCTTGGACGAAGTACAACCAGAAAGCTTCTTAGAAGCAAGGGTTACCAGACTTTGTCTCACATATTTTGGACATACTATCAGAAGGGACCAGTCCCTGGAGAAGGACATCATGCTTGGTAAAGTAGAGGGTCAGCGAAAAAGAGGAACACCCTCAAAGAGATGGACTGACACAGTGGCTGCAACAATGGGCTCAAACATAACGATTGTGAGGATGGTGCAGGAGTGGGCAGTGTTTCATTCTGTTGTACATAGGGTCGCTATGAGTTGGAACCTACTCGACAGCACCTAACAACAACACAATATTATACATCTCTATTTGTATAAGCATACATAGAAATAAACTTATCTACCATTAAGGCTCAAGTCTAGAACCCAAACGTAGTTGAGAAAATCACAAACAAAATCTGAGTATCATTTCTAATAGCACCAACACAAAGCTACAGAATTCACTACCAACGGGGTATGCATTCTGTACTATAATCCTTTTATCTGACCCATCCCACTGCCTTTTAGCAGGAATATATACAGTCTCTTCCAACCTCCTAACTACCTAACCTTCTACCCACTTATGATGTGTAGATGACCAACCTCCTGATCTCACAGAAAAAGAAAGGCTACCAAAAAAAAAAAAAAGTTCCTTCAACTTTTCACTATTCCTTTCCTCTACAAATGTTGATAGTCTTCAACTTTCTTAATAGGAACAAATGTCCATTGAAGACAGTGATAAGTACTTTGGAGAAAAATAAAGCAAGGTAAGTGGGAGGAGACATTCTGGAAAAATCATCACATTACAAACAAATTATTTTTTTAATTTCAAAGAGTTCAAACCTGGAATGTTTATTTTGCTTGTTTCTATTGAAAGTTTACAAGGCAAATATGTGTCATATCTTAACAGGTTGGTAAACAAATATTATTATCTGGAAACTACAATAGAAAATAACAGCAAGACACTTAGATATCATTTTGGAAATAACCAATTAAAGAGGTAGGTTTCCTACAGGAGCTAGTTTGAATCTTGACAGTGACCAAGTAAGGCCTTTTTCCTTTTGAATAAAGTTAAATTCATTCTTTTGTCAAACTCCTGGATTATACTTTCTAAGTAGAGTTTCTTTCTACTAAGCATGAACATTTACAGTCAGAAAGAACATGTTCCTAACTAGGAAAATGTCCCTTTAGATATTTTCTGCCAAAATTTTACTTACTTAGACAATCTGTTACACTGTGTGTAATCTTCAACTCTGCAGATGGTTGCACTTCCTTAATATTGCCTATCTACAATTTTAAGAGGAACTACAGTACACTTCAGGGACTGTATGTGCTATTAAAAATGGAAGATGCTTTACAAACAACTTACTTCGGAGTTTTCCCAAAGGAAGTTATTAAGGTTATAACACTACCAAAAGTAACAGACTACTCTGAATACGAAATGTCAAGAGGATTTCTACCTAAAAAGATTATATTTCCTCTCAGGAGCTTCTCTGACTACACAAGCCAGATAGGTCCATAAGATATAAACAAAAGCATTCACCGGAGTTGGCAATTAAGAGGTGGGCCCCTGGGTGGTGCAAGATATTTGTGATCAGCTGCTAACCTAAAGGCTGGCTGTTCTAATCCACTTGGTAGGAAGAAAAGCCTGGTGATCTGCCTTTGTAAAGATTACAGTCAAGAAACCCTATACAGTTGTTCTACACTGTAACACACGAAGCCGCCATGAATCAGAATCGACTTGAAGGCAAAACAACATCATTAGTCTTTAGGCTACTTACTGGAAATTAAAAACACAGGGAAAAATGCCTGCATATCCACTAGGCTGGCTAAATTTGAAATGACTGACAATATCATGGATCGATGAGGATGTGGAGCAACTGGAATTCTCATATATTGCTGATGGGAAGGTAAAATGGTACACTCACTTTGGAAAATAAGTTTGGCAGTTTTTTATACAGTTAAACATATACTTATCGCACGATCAGGCAATTTCACTCATGTATTTACCCAAGAGAATAAAGATACATGTCTACAAAAAGTCTTGTATGTAAATGAGCATAGTAAAAAATAAAAAGAAAGAAAATATTTTATAGATCATATTTGGGAAACAACTTTTAATTTATGATGCAGATATTTCATTTGTTCGTTCATCAAATCTTCATTTTTAACATTAAGGAAAAGACTGTAAAGTCTGCATTTTAATATCTTTTACTTAGGTATTAAAAGCATTAACTAAATTCTTCAACATCAATGCTTTACACCCTCTACACAGGAAAAATTCAGACAGTTCTATGTTTGAATTATGGAGGATAAACTTCTTATTCTGGAAATTTTTATTTTAAATACTAATTACAAAAAATATGTAAAAAATTGGCTTATTGCTTCTAAAATTATTATACGACTATGAGATTCTAGATTAAGCATCTAGAAGAAGTGAAATTAGCCTGGAGTTCTAAAATAAAAATAAAATGTTTTATAAACTAATAAAGCAAAACTTCTTGACATCAAATATAAAAAGTTAACTTTGACATGAATTTGCAAAATAATATACTTACAATTTGTTGCCATGTTAAATTGAGAAGAAAGTGCTTGAGTAACTGAATTCCAAAACATGTATAAGATTTCAGATTGTCCATCCTGTGAACAACAACAAAATTTAGTTATTTTAAAGAAATTATAATAGATATGATGAAACACTGAAAATTTATTTAAAACTTATGTAAATGAAAATTTCTAAGACATCAAACTATCAAACAATGGGATTATTAAATGGAAATATACAGATGACCCAAATCATTTCTCACGTTCAAGTAATCAGTCATCATCCTGCTCTGCCACTTACTAGCTGTGTGACCTCAGGTAAATTGCTTAACCATTCTGTGCCTCAGTTCCTCATCTGTAAAATAGAGATAACAATACCTACATCTCTAGATAACTATGAGAATTAAGCAAGTTAATAAAAGTAAATTTCTGGACCAGTGACTGACATAATAAGCTGTCAGTGAATGTCAGCTATTACTATTGCAATTGTCATCATCATCATCATCATCCTTTGATACATAGATGGCAATCTGTGTGAACAAGACAAAACGATGGACAAAGCATGCTTAGATGAAAAAATGACCAGAGAAATAAAGAGAACTTCTAAAGCCTATATACAGTTTAAATAAAAATGAAAACAGGATTACTACAGTTTGGTTTAGCACAATACTTTATTCAACTTTGAATATATGTTTGAAAACGTAATCAATCACTGAAAAGAAAAGAAAAATAATAGTTCAAGTATCACTGTTAAGAAAAGAGTATTTTAAAAAAAATTTATTTATGTTATTGTTGAGAATATACACAGCAAAACATACACCAAGTCAACAGTTTCCACATGTGTAATTCAGTGACATTGGTAACATTCTTCGAGTTGTGCAACCATTCTCACCTTTCTTTTCCTCCACCATTGAGTTGTTCCTCCCCGATTAACATACTCACTGCCCTCTGAGGTTCCTATCTAATCTTCTGAGTTGCTGTTGTCATTGATCCCATATAGGTAATTCTTAAAATGGCCTTATGCTCAAGGCAGACATTTTTCACTAATTAAGCTGAACTACTGTTCAGTTTTAAGAAGACTTCAGGGGATATTTTGCATTTAAGGTTTGAAGATTATCTCAGGGCCATAGTTTCAGGGGTTCATCCAAACTCCATGGCTCCAGAAAGTCCGGAGTCCATGAGAATATGAAATTCTGTTCTATATTTTTCTCCTATTGATCAAGATTCTTCTATAGAACCTTTGATCAAAGCATTCAGTAATGGTAGCCAGGCACCATCCAGTTCTTCTGGTCTCATGGCAAAGGAGGCAGTTGTTCATGGAGGCAATTAGCCACACATTCCATTTCCTCCTCCTGTTTCTGACTCTCCTTCCTCTGTTGCTCCAGGCAAAGAGAAACCAATTGTTTTGCCTTGGATGGCCGATTGCAAGCTTTAAATATCCCAGGCACTACGCAACAAAGGAGGAGGTAGAACAGAAGCACTGAACATGTTATTAGGCCAATTAACTGAGATGTCCCATGAAACCATGACCCCAAACCTCCAAATCAAGGAATGAAATCCCATGAGGTGTCTGGTGGCACATAAGCAGTCTCAGTAGCTACTCTTTCATTTGTTTTTTTGGTCATTGTAAATATGTCTATCACACAACTTTTGCCAATTTAGCTTTTTTCAGGTGTACAACTTATTGACAGCACTTACAGTAATCGGCTGTGCAACCCTACCCTTAATCAATGAGATTTTTCCATCACCATAAACCAAAACTCAGTACTCCATAAGCAATACCTCCCCCTTTTTCCTCTCCCTTCCGTTCCTGGTAACCACTAATAAACTTTGGTTTCTGTACATTTGCCTTTTCTTGTCTTTTATAAAAGTGAGGTCATACAATATTTGTCCTTTTGTGATTGACTTACTTCACTCAGCATAATGTTTTCAAGCTCCATCCATATTGTAGCATGTATCAAGACTTCACTTCTCCTGACACAGTACTTTAACACTGTTAAAATGGAATCACGCTCCTAGAAATTTTACCAAATACTTTCAAGATATTTACACGTGTGGTGTATAATATCAAATTGCCAATATTCTACCTTTTTAAAAAAATTACTATGGTTTATATATATACATATACATATATAACAAAATATTTGCCATTTTAATCATTTTTAAATGCACAATTTAGTAACCTTAAATACTGTCACCATGTTGTGCAACCATCACCACTATCCATTCCAAAAATTTTCATCACCCCAAACAGGAATTCAATACACTTTAAGCACTAACTCTTCAATCTTCCCTCCCTCTAGCCCCTGGTAATCACTAATATATTTTGTCTCTATGCATTTGTCTATTAAAGATATTTCATATAAATGAGATCATACAATATTTGTCCTTTTGTATCTGACTTATTTCACTTAGCATAATCTTTTCAAGGTCTACCATTTTTGAAATACAAAAATAACAATTTCATATGGTTCCATCTAATAATAGCACATATAAAATATGTGTGTTGTCATAAAAAAGAATTAGGAAGTGCATTAACTCTGTTTTAGTTTGTACTTGTAACAAATGGAAGTCTAAATTTGGATGGCAAAAATGACCAAAATGATCACCGAAAAAATGCTGATTTTTGACTTTATACCTATGCCCACATCCATTTTCATTATTATTTGTTTCTTTGTTAATAAGTCTTCTGGCTTTTAATTTACTCAGGTGGCTATTGTATATGGTAAAAATGGCAAATCAAATAATTTTTCATCTCTTATGCAATGATCAGAAAATAGATTTAGATTCCCAAAATTTTATGCAATATGCGTATTGTGTGTCTTGTATCTTACTTTAGTTTTTTTATCATATTAAAAAAAGTATCATTTTGTGCCTAATTTTCCATTAATTGGGTATTAAGTTTATTTTATTGCCTGTTATGCACTCAGCTACATGATCATATACATTTCCTTATTGGAAACGCTGGGCTATTAATAGAGTTCATAATATTAAGTAACCCTTACATTGCTGACATGAATCCTACTTATTTAGGTAGATAATTCAGATAATTATTTTAATATATTGTTATTGTTAAAATCAATGCTATCACACCTGAGAATTTTGTATTTGCATTCTTAAGCAAGATTGACCCAAGTTTTCTTTTTTCAGTATAAGTTCATGTGAGTGTACAAGTACATAGTCATCAAACTTTGGAAATAGGGTTATACATGTCTTATAACATTAATTAGTTATTCCTTTTATTTTAAAATTTTATATTAATATAAAATTAATATATTTAATATATATTTGGGGACAATTATAGCTCTTTGTTATCTAATGGTGGTATAACAGAAATACCACAAGTGGATGGCTTTAACAAACAGAAGTTTATTCTCTCATAGTTTAGGAGGCTGGAAGTCTGAATTCAGGGCATCAGCTCTAGGGGAAGGCTTTCTCTCTCCATCAGTTTTGGGGGAAGGTCCTTGTCAATCTTCCCCTGGTCTAAGAGCTTCTCAGCACAGGGACCCCATGCTTTGCTCCCAGCACTTCTTTCTTGGTGGCATGAGGTCCCATCTCTCTGCTTGCTTCTTTCTCCTTTTATCTCTTCTAAAATAGAAGGTGATGTAGGCCACACGCCAGGGAAACTTCCCTTAAATCTGATCAGGGCTGTGACCTGAGTAAAAGTGTTTCATCCCACCCTAATCCTCTTTAACATAACCTAATCTTGTCTCATTAACCACAGGCAGAGATTAGGATTTACAACACATAGGAAAGTCACATCAGATCAGAAAATGGTGGACATCACACAATACTGGGAATCATGGCCTAGCCAAGTTGATACACATTTCTGGGGGACACAATTCAATCCATAACAATAGCCTAAGATACTTTTCCTATTTTACTAGATAAAAGAACCCACACAATATTTTTAACATTTTGATAACTTAAAATTTATTATTTTATTCAAGTACTCTATTTATTGAGCTAAGTATATATTCTCTGATAATTATCCATGTCATCATGAATTTCAAATTTGGTAATACAAAGTTTGTGTGATACGCTTTATTCTATATACCAATTTTGTCTTGTCTGAAATTAACACTGCCACTACTGCTTTCATTTGAGAAATGTTTATCTATCCACTAATTTTTATTCTTTCTATAATGTTTCTTTTTGATGTGACTCTTACAAATAGCATACATTTTAATTCTATTTTAAAAAGCAATTTTTATCTTTTAATAAAAAATTATAACATGTTTAACCAATAGGTTATTCTTGCTTTTATCATCTCATTTTATGCTTTCTTTCTCTTTCCTTTGTTTTCTGCTTTTGTTCTATAAATTATTTTTGTTTGCTTTTATCTTCTCTAGCAGTTTGAACACTATGGATCCTGATTTTAATTCTATCAAAAGTTAACTTTACGGGTTTTGAAAACAGTTTTGATCTCGTATTTCTCACTTTTCAAAGGCAAAAATGAAAATACGTCTTCTGAAGCTACCAATAACAAAAATTCATTTATAATTCTAAACTTCTGGAATTTATAAATTAAAATAAAAATCAAGATAAAGTCTCTATAGGACTTGGTGAGCAAGTGGATAAAGAGAGTAAAGGACTAGGAAGATGGAAATTGTTCAACCAAAGTGGAACTTCAGAAGGAGGAAGAAGTGGGTAGAGAAAGATTAGCCCACTTAGACCTATGCTTCTGTAATCTATAGGCCATCCAAGTACAGATGACCTAAGCAGCTGGATATAAAACTCTTGCTTAAGAGTAAGATCTTGGCCGAAGAAATCAATTTAGGCATTATCAGCATCTGGAGGTAGTAGAAACTGTTAGCCTATCAGAGTTTTTCTGTAGATTGCATAAGGAAACCCTGGCAGCACACTGCTTAAGTGCTATGGCTGCTAACTAAAAGGTCAGCAGTTTGAATCCACCAGGTGCTCCTTGGAAACTCTATGGGGCAGTTCTACTCTGTCCTATGGAGTTACTATGAGTCAGAATCGACTTGACAGCAACAGGTTTTGTTTTTTTTTTTTTACAGGCTGCATATGGCATGAGAAGAAAAGAAGGCTGAGAATGGAATCCAATGAAACGACATTACTTCAAGCTTGGTGGA